TTTTGAGTTTTCCCTCCTTTTTGCCATTTTTCAAATGTCGTGTAATCAGGATTCGATTCTCGGCGACATATAAAGTGGCCACGGGGAGCTTTAGTGAATATATATTTCGTTTTACTTATTAAATCCATCATATATCGTGGTCCGATTGACCAAATAATTTCTTTCAATTAATTAATCTTTTCATGTAAGGTTTTTGGTTGAAATGAAATGGTTGAAAAATGGCAAAAAAGAGGGAAAATTGTAGGTTGAGATGGGAAGTTGGTGTCCGAGTCGTGTCGAAGTCACGAAAGCTCAAATGGTCGAATTGCGGCGTATTTAGGCGAAGGTCGTGGGTTCGAATCCCGATCGTGGCACTCATTTTTTCATTTCAACCAAAAACCTTCCATAAAAAGATTAATTAATCGAAAGAAGTAATTTAGTCAATGGACCACTAAATATAATGGATTTATTTTTATATTTCCATTTCCTTTGTTAACAATTAACATCCTTTCAAATATTGAATAACCCCGAATCACAAATCCGATCCAGAAAATCTCCATTCTTGACTTCCTCCGAGTTAAATAAAACCTCCAATGATGAAAGAAAATTTCTCAGCTTTACGGCGTCCCCCACCCTGTCAGAATCATATAAAAACAGCAGAATACAAATTCACGTCTCACAACAATTTCACACAACACCAATATGACACCACAAGAATAGCACAGCGCTTTATCTGAGTATGAAATCCTTGGTTCAAAGTTTATGTTTACAACTGTATTTTTTCTATCAACATATGTTTTCTAGTTCACGCACGCTCTGAAGATGACCCCAATATAGGTCGAAATGTCGGCCAAAAATTGAAAAAGGTGTTTTTGTTTCAATTTTCAGTATTTGTTCAATAAACTACAATACGAATAATAAAGTTTGACAATGGACAGCAGAAAAGTTTAATTGTTAGGGCTATGTATATATCGAGACTTTTCTCTTTAACAATACTCTTCTAACACTCTCACATACCAAAACACATACACTTTTTTTTTTAAATTATACTTATTGATCCTACAATTACATAAGTAAATTGTTTAAATAATTCTGCTTCGGTGCTAACAATTTTTTCATTTGGCAAGTCCAAGATTAGAGTTTTAGGGGCTGAATAGATTTGGTTTGTTCCGTAGAAAAAGAAGACCTAATCCAAACAAAACCGGATCGAACTTACCGCCGATTGGTACCCAAAAATCCCACCATAATAAATTTCTTATTCAAAATAGATTAATTATTTTAATCGAAACTTTTACGGGGAAGGAAACGGCAAATTACACCACACACAGTACCTCGACCCTGAGACCAGACAAATGCGACTTTCACGGAAAAGCAACCTGCATAATTGAAGCGAAATTAAATTGTCTTCTTTCACGACACGCAGTGCCTGGCACATGCTACCTCGACCGACACTAGATGTAATGAAATTTGTTAAACTTATAACAGGAAGTCGTCCAGAAAAAATAGACAAACAATTTCAAATTCATTATTGCCATTATTTGAGAAATGGTTTAAATAAATTTGGTTACAAAGGAAGAAAAAATGTTTATAAATATAATAATATTAATATTTATATATTATAAATTGTTTGCTATTAATTTTTGGCATAACTAATAAACATAAAATGTCGTATCATGGCTATGTGTAATAATATAAATTTTTTAAGGATTAAGCTCATATTCCCCTAACCCTAATCGACTTTCACTGTTTTCTTTAAGTTTCATTATTATTTTCTCTTTTCTTCTTTTTTACATTTTACCCAGACACTGAATCCAGCGCTGCACCCGGAGGACGCATGCCATGAGAAGACAGCCAGTGCTGGCACTCATTTTAATAGATTAAGGGGCAAGGAAGTCTCGGGGTCATCGTCGTTTTAGGAGACGTGGTGGATTCTCGGGATGGGAATATGAGGAGAGGGCTCTAGCGGTAGAGTTAGGATGGATCGATAGGTTGGTATGAGATTTTTGGAATCGGGAATGGATCAGTTCGTGGACAAAAGGAACGTTGAGGTCTTTGTGGATAGTGAGGTTAGAGACGTAAAAAGGAGCTTTGACGATTTGGCTGAGGACTTTTGATTGGAAGGACTGGATACGCTGGATATTGGGTGGTTTGGCGGAACCCCACAGTTCCACACCGTATGTCCAATGTGGTCGCAGTAAAGTCTTGAATAAGGTCAGTTTAGTGCTGATGGTCAACCCGGATTTTGTTCCTAGTAGTCTGCGTAATTGTCCAAGTCTTCTGTTGAGTTGTTGTCTTTTAAGTCTTGTGTCGGGATTCCACGTCACTCTGCTGTCAAGGTATAGTCCTAGGTATTTGACTTGAGTGAAAGTCGGTATCTCTTCATTGCTGATGTATATTGGAGGGCAAGACTGCTTTTTCAAAGTGAACGTACGTTGGATGCACTTTTCTCCACTTTTACACCAACCTTAGATGAGCTCAAGGTGTTCTTAGATATTAGAGGTAGCTTGGGTAGGATTCAAGTTAGAGGACAAAATTGCGGTATCATCCGCGTAGGTGGTAATGACGGTGTTGGGGTGAGTAGGTAGGTCAGTAGTATAGATGGTATAAAGGATAGGACCAAGGATACTCCCTTGTGGGACACCGGCTTGTATTGCCCTGATTTCAGAGAACTCGTTACCGCACCTCACTCTGAAGCAGCGGTTTGTTATGTAGGATTTCAGGATAAGGTAATAAGGAGTGGGTAGGAAGGGTTTGAGTTTATAAAGTATGCCCGGGTGCCGCACCCTGTCCAAAGCTTCTGCTATATCTAGGAGCGCACACAACGATTACTATCTATGCGGATGAAAACGCAACTTCGTATTCTGAACTGAATTCTATCCAAGCAACTACCAACATCAAAGATCACTATGACCTACCAAAAATTTGTGCAAAAAGGGGAGGACAAGGCTAAATTGGTAAACTGTACTCAGCGCACATTTACAATAAGAAAAACTGACATGTGCTCCACTGCACGTCAACAACAAGGAGCTACCGATTCCACGCAAGTCACATGCTTTGGACTTCGACTGAGTACTTAGACATCAGTCCAATTCGCGTTGGTGTCCCACAATGGAGCATTCTTAGTAGATTTTTTTATACCATTTATACATCTCATTTTCCTTTACGACCCAATAACATGATTACCACCTATGTAGACAGTACCACAATTTTGTCTTCTAACCTCCAACACCCAAGATTAGCTTGAGCTTTCCTGACTGCACTAAAAAAGTGGTAGACAAGACAATGAAGAAACATTTACACATATACTATGAAAAAGCATCTACAATGCATAATAGCAAGGCGCTACCGACTTCATTTAAGTCAGATAGGACTATACATAGACAGCAAACTAACTGTATCCCCACAGAAGGGTTAAGAGACAACAAAGTAACAGTAGACTACGACATATCATATGTAACCATGATGACTTCTGAAAGGACGATGCCGTCGAGACCTCGCCACTTACTATTTCATACTGAGTCCCGATTTTGGCTAGTTTCACTTTACTTATGTCCTCCGGGTGACATGCTGCCGAAGTGAGAGTGTCGTGACTGAGAAAAACCCACGTATTTGTAATATGCATTAATATGTACAAGATACACATAAATTAATATAGAAAAGTATCAATTAAAACAGTTCAAAACATTGACCAAATAAATAAGAAAGTTTGAAAGCAAAGTTTTCTGTTTTGTTTTGAAAAATAAACTTTACTTGTAAAAGTGAAAAAATCGATGTTTATCCAGAAAAATATATGAAATTTTGTTGTAAACTAACTTGTTTTATGTATGTGGCGGTAAAGGCCTTCTTTTCGTCTTTTTATTTATTTTTGCGATTCTGGCATCCCGTGGAATGCTAGGCCCTGAATTCTTTCCGCTCCATTCCACCGTGAAATGTTTTCAGAAAAACTCCGACGTTCGATTACAAAACGACCTCAGAAACAAATTGACAACCGATAAATCTTTAATTAATCGATTTAAAGGGATAAATCGTGGATTCTCCGGGAGAAAATGAAAACGGTTTAGAGGTAAAATGAAATTTCCCCCTATAAATAAAGAACGAATCGGACAAATAAAATCGTCCGTTAATTACAAAGCTTTTATTGTTTTGTGTAACATTATTGAGGATTTTGTTCAAACAGATTGTCTTTTTATTGCCAAAATTATCTAAACACACATTTTTATAATACTATTAACGATAGGCCATGCGAGGTACTTAATTTTGTGCCAAAGCATGTAGAAAAAGGTTTCTCCAATTCCTCGGTTCCGTATAGAGAGCTTAGGGGGTGCAACCCGATGTGAGAATTGTTCTTGAGCACGGCAGCAAATTCCTCGGTCCCCTGTTGTAATTCTTGGAGAAAACAGGGTTGTTTTTATTGTATACAGTGCTGATATTGTTGCGTACCGTGATAGATTGAAAGTATTTATTAGCGTGAAACCGTCTCAGAGGGTCCATGGTGGACTATTGAATACCCCCATCGACTCTCAATTTTATTAGTTATATAATAGGTGTAAATAGTGATGGAGGAATATCGAGCACTCCACCACTCTAACTGAGTGAACGGTATGTAGATATGATCTTTACGACTGATTACGTTGGAGGCTGAGACTAGCTTATGATAGCTCCTGGAGCATGTAATCTCGGTGGCTGGACGGATAATCCCGAGGTCCGACCCCGGACTGCAAACACTCGAGGCCGGTCGGTAATTTATTGTAAATTATGAAAGCTGGAATTGCCGGTGGATTGGGAGAAGTCTTACGCTCAATTCTATTCACGCGTCTATGTTAAAATGCGTGCACAGATTTGAGCTTATATAAATCAGTAAATAAGAAAATAAATAAGACTATATTATACAGAATTACGTTCACTACTATTTTACGTGGAGCATTAGTTAAAAGTATTGAAATTGCTCAAGTTTTTATGATTTTTTTAGGGGGTGAGAGGGATGAATAACTAATGATGAACAAAAATGATTATTTTATTACCTTATATTTTAGCTTGACTTCTCTGATGAATCCGTACCTGGAAATTAAAACACAATTGAAATTATTAATGTTGTTGCAGCTTTATTTGTAGCTGAATGTAATTACTGTAAGTATATAAAAAATCTGTGTAACAATATAAATAAACAACGTTTAAGTGTTGTAGATTGAGTATTTGTACAACAAGAATTATCCACTAATTATTACGTGAATGAGTTGTGTGCTCTACAGGACAGATTATCACCTGGACACGTCGTGCTGGAGGGCAACAAACGTGCGGATGGAACTTTACTATCGTGATCCGACCCGCTGACGATAAATTCGTTGAGACGATAAGATACAAAAGTTTAATTATGTTAAGTAAACAAAATGCAAGTTTTGTCATTACATTCGTCAAGAATAGTACAAATTAATTCATTTTTATCCCGCTATTAAAACATGAAAAAACTCCTCAAAATCATAAAATGCATTAACAGTGAGGAATTTTGTTACTTTAAGTTTAAATTACAATTAATTAAGGTTTTTAGTTGAGATAAAAAAGTCAATGGCACCTGGCCATTTCATTTCGATTTTTGGGCAAAAAAAACGAGTTTTTTACATACTCGTGGAAAAACTGATCATTCTCTCTCCCGATTTGAAACAATGCATATAATTCATTAGTTTTCGAGGTCCGCTTGACCAATTTATATCTTTCAATTAATTAAGGTTTTTAGTTGAGATAAAAAAGTCAGTGTCATGAGCAGGATTCGAACCCACGACCTTCGGCTTGATACGCCATTACTCTATCACTTGCGCTATTGTGACTTCGATCAACTCGGGCACTAACTTCCCATCTCAACCCCACCTTTTGAATTTTCCCTCCTTTTTGCCATTTTTCAAATGTCGCCGTTTGTCGCCGAGAATCAAATAGATTACACGACATTTGAAAAATGGCAAAAAGGAGGGAAAATTGAAAAGGTGGGGTTGAGATGGGAAGGTTGTGCCCGAGGGGGACGAAGTCGCGGTAGCTTAAGTGGTAGAGCAGCGGCGTATCTAGCTGAAGATCGTGGGTTCGAATCCCGCTCATGACACTGACTTTTTGCCTCAACTAAAAACCTTAATTAGTTGAAAGATTATTCGAAATCGTGAGATGCGGTCTGGTGTGACGTAGTTTTAGGAAAGTATTTCTTTATCGTGTCAACGTTTCGATCTTTATTAAGGTCATCTTCAGGGCCTGGGACTTACAAACGTGTGATGTGAAAAAAGTGAATTTATATAATGCAAAAAAATATTTTTTTATTTTCAATAAAAGTATTTCTACTCACTCAAAGTGTTTGTCTTCTGTGTAATTGTGCCATTCTTGCGTGTCGTGTTGAGAGTGCCAGTGAGATATTACTGTTTTATGTTTGATTTTGAAGGGGTGGGGAAGGAAGTCGGTATAGAAAAGACATTTTTGTATAAGGAGTCGGCTTCTATGAGGTGAAAAGAGCCGACGAAGGGAAAAAACGTTGGTAATGGTTCGGCCAGATTATCCTTTCAGGATTATATAGATGGGGATAATTAGGAACAGGAAAGCTAAATTGTTGGAAAATTAGACTATGTAAAAATGTTTGATGTGTGGAATGTGATGTGATGATATATGTATTTTATCTATATTGAGTTGGATTAACGATATTGGCGTAGTTGCGACTGAGTTTACATGTAATTGATGCTGTGTTTATCACAAACCTACATCACACCAGACCGCATCTCACGATTTCTGAATAATCTTCGACTAACGGTCACTAATCACCATATATTTGCGATTTTTAATTCTGTTTTTTATACTCAATCATAAACTATTTTAGTTAAAAAGAAACAGACAAAAAAATAAATAAAGTTGTTTCTTTGTGTTCGAAGTGTCTAATTCTCAAATTATCTTTTGCCAACAAAAGCCGGATTGTGTCTGAGTTGATGCGATTTTGAGTAAACACAGTGTTTTACGGACAAAAAAGTAATAAAACATTTCTTCAATAAACAACATAACCGGCCTGCAATGAAAGAAAAAGGGCCATTTTACCTTGAAACCCTATGCTACTTTCACATTTCCCTTTCTATAACTGAGTCAATTTCAAAGGAAAGCTAAATTTTTGAAAAATTAGACTATGTAAAAATATTTGATGTGTGGAATGTGATGAATGTTTTATATGTTATAATATGTGTTTTGTGTGATGTGATGATATTTGTATGTTATTGATATTGGATTTGATTAATGATATTGGCGTAGCTGTGACTGAGTTGACATGTATCTGTTCTGTAATTGATGCCATTTTTCATTTTTCATTGGCAAAATGGTGGGAAAATTGAAAAGGTGGGATTGGGATGGGAAGTTAGTGTCCGAGTGAATCGAGGTCACGATAGCTCAGGTGGTAGAGCAGCGGCGTATCTAACCGAAGATCGTGGGTTCGAATGTGTCGAATCGAATTTGTGACAGTGATTTTTTTATCTCAACCAAAACCTTAATTAATTGAAAAGAATTTATTTGGTCAAGCGGACCACGAAACCTAATAAAATGTAATAAGCAAAATGAAGTACAAATTAGTAAAGCTCTCCGTGGCCATTTCATTTGTCGCTGAGAATCAAATAGATCACATGACATTTGAAAAATAGCAAAACGCAATTGAAAAATGGCAAAAAGTAGGGAAAATTCAAAATGTGAGATTGGGATGGGAAGTTAGTGTCCGAGTGGATCGAAGTCACGAGAGCTCAAGTGGTAGAGCAGCGGCATATTTAGCCGAAGGTCGTGGGTTCGAATCCCGCTCGTGACTTTTTTATCTCAACCAAAACCTTAATTAATTGAATAGGCTATAATGAAGAGGTGTATTAGACTTAAGACGAAATGCATCGAAAAAAAAATTAAATTATAGAGTACTTAAATAAAATATCATTATGGGTGGATAGGAACAAATAAAGAAAAGAAACCAAGAATCCATGTTTATTTTTTCCGTTTTTGTATGTCATGAAGCAATTTTAAGCTTTTCTGTTAATAATTTTCATCCGATATTGGGATTTTTTATTCGCTTTCAAAATAAATAATTGATTATTTAGAATAAAGAAGCACTATCCAGAATTGATTATCCCCTAATTCCATTTAAAAGGGGGGATTAAAGGAAATTAGACTCTTTCACCCCTATCCAAAGTACTTCGTGATTCAATTGAAATTTCCTGTTTTGCATCAAATCGGCCGTGTAAAATAACACCGTCGGATTTAGGAATTCTTTTGTACATTAAACACAAACCACGGAATGTTTTTAATTTTGACCATGCGGTATTGGTTGAGTGTCGATTTAAAAAACGTTCTTTTTTCATGATATATCAAAAATTCCGTCGAATCCACTCTGTCAAAAAACCGACCGCCACCCGTTATTTTGTGAATTTGACAGCGGGAATTGGCCCATATTCTGCCGACACGGTTCAACAATTTTGGAAATGACGATAAGAGCAAAGGGGACTGGGTTTATGCCGGCCATTCATGCTGGACAAAGAGGTTCAACCAGATGCTATCCAGGCTGATCACAGAAACAGGACCCGTCAACTATGTCCCTCTGAGGGTCAGTCGCATGGCAACGGGCAGATGGCTCTTTCAAAAGATAATAGGCACACGTTTCACCAACGGAACTAATTATGATATACAAAATGTTATGAAGATGATCCAATGATTGAATACATTCAAACACTTAACTGCTATATCGTCTAGGCGATTAGTTGTTGATCACAACTAGTAAAAATATTTAGCTTGATTTGTTAAATTAATATATATTTCCATGAGGTAAATTTAACAACAAACTGACTCTGTACCAAATTGCAAAAAATTTGGATAAAAGGTAAAGAAATTATTGAAGAAATATATTTGTACATTTGTATTAGTCTGTATGCTCTGCAGAGATAAACCGGACCTATTAGTGCCTGGTTTGAAGATTTTTTCTCTCCAACTTCAGAATAACTTGATTCTAGGTACTGTGCTACATCCACCTAGACGAACAATCACACTCTCCACACTCTCACTAATTCTTAAATACATTCTTTCTTTTTTACTTCCATTCACTCAAGTAGAGTAGTGAATATTCAATATGAACTCTTACGCTAATAAATACATTCAACCTCAAAACCCAGAAAAGGACAAAAACGAGATATCAGTCTTATAATTAATAGATAAAATAAAACTTGTTTATTCAAAAAATCGAAAAAATCGAAACAAAGACCACCGCCGAAGTTAGGTCAGGGGCTGTCATTAGCTAGACATTTTTCTCCCAAAGTTTTTAAACCTAGGAACACATTCATCCTTAAATACATTCTTCACTAAATGAGTACGATAAACTCAAATGACACACCACACTATCACTCTAAATGAACTATAAATAATAAATAACTATAAATTTGTAAAACTAAAAGTTTTTGGAGAAATCTGTTAATAACTATTTATTTAGAAATCGTGAGATGCGGTCTGGTGTGATGTACGAACCATTACCAACACATTTTTTCCCTTCGTCGGTTCCTTTCACCTCAAAGAAGCCGATGCCTTATACAAAAATGTCTTTTCTATACCGACTTCCTTCCCCACCCCTTCAAAATCCAACGTATATAAACACAAAATAACAAAATCTCACTGGCACTCTCTACACGACACGCAAGAATGGCACAATTACACAGAAGACAAACACTTTGAGTGAGTAGAAATACTTTGATTGAATATATAAAATATATTTTACATTGTATAAATTCACTTTTCCACATCCAAAATGTAATTGTAATATGTAAACAATGTTTGTAAATCTCAGGCCCTGAAGATGATCTCAATAAGGTCGAAACGTTAGCACGATAAAGAAAATGTTTTTCTGAAACCTACATCACACCCGACCGCATCTCACGATATCTGAATTACTATCGATTAACGGACACTAATCTCTACACATTGAAAACTACGTTAAATTTCCAGTAACATGTGATCAATACTAAACTTGTAAACCTTCGTGAAATAAGTGTTTTAGTAGAGAGAACATTAAAAAAAATTTTTATTTCAAA